TGGGATTACGCAGTATTTTGCGATTTTCTGCTGAAAAAAAGTTGAAACATTCCTTTTTGTGATTTAATGAGAGGGAGCCTGGTGCGAAGAGTGTCTGTTGCAGATTTGATAAAGACTTCTAAGAAACGTGTTTCATCAAAATGCAACCAATTTTTGTCCGCTATTGACATTAATGTGTAACGGCGAGAAACGTTTTCTAACTTACTTCGATTTCATGTTAATAATATAATTCTTTTAATTTGGGTGAGACAAACATTTTTAATGTCAAAATTGTGTGTTACTAAAATGCATCGGCCGGCACGCTGGCGGCCGATTAATTTTCCCTCTAAATCGGACATCAAATATTCAAATTAAGGAATAGGGCTTCATATGCCCTAATCCAGTAGATTTTTATGCAGTACCCGTGCCGCGACACGCAACGCGCGCGTCCCGCTTCGCTGCCGCCGTTCCTTAGCATCACTTCACGTATTTTTGAAAAATTATGTTTCATCGAAATATATTCATTTGGGAGAAAGGAAGGGCTTTAGTTCTGAGAAATCTTAGTTCGACTATCTTCGCCGCGCCCGTTTCGCGCATAGCGTTTCGCGAACAGCGAATAAATCAAGGTTGTTTCTTGCAGTTTTTGCCTAATTATGCTGCAACAAAGTGCGTGACACATTGCCGAAATTGGCAATTAGTTTAGCCGGAGTCGTTCGGCATCACTTGATTGAAAAAGTGCGCGTTAACAAAACCTATAATTGTGATTATGGATCTCATATTGCTAACAACATATGAAATCCAAGCGAATTCTCTGATGCAAATTGGCAAACGGACTTTTCTGGAAAAAAATGTGTTTTAACAGAATTCATTAAAGGGCAAGGGAATGGTCGATTAAAGAACCGGTGCCATAAAGCCCCAATACGCGAAGTGCGGAAAATAATAAGGTATCATATAGATTTTCCAGCACGTAGATACTATACAGGTTTTGCGGCGACGCACGCACGCACGCAACGCGCGCGCTGTTTGGCTGCCGCTGTCAAACCGCCTTAATAGAAAACCATTGCAAAAAAATATGCTTCATCGAGACATATTGCATCTGACCGGCCGGACGGCTGTAATTCGTTCTCAAACTTTATCAAATACCGTTAGAAACCAAACAAATAATTTTCCTATTAATTTTTTTTGAAAAGTTATGTTGCAACAAACTGTATAAAAAAATTAGGTAAATTGAAAACATAACACCTTCCATCGTTCGCCCCTGAAATCTCGTAACTGGAAAGTATGTTTTAACGAAAGCTATTGATAAAACCAAAAAAATTGCTTTTAGTGTCACTTCGACGAATAGACTAAAATTTTATCCAAAGCCAAATAGAATTGAAAAATTATTCACTGAGCAGCGGCTGGCCGACAATAAATAAAAAAAAATTGTGTTTTCTCAAAAATGTGCCTCGAATTCCGCGGTACAACCATTAATCTCCCGTGGCAAAGAAAACGGATAGCGCATCATAAAGATTTTGAACTACGTATATATTCCATGTCAGACCCTTATCATACCGAAGGACCGGAGCTATCGGGAAGGCAAATTTCTCATGCTAAGGCCACATTCCAGCGCCCAGGGCCCGCGAAGCGGGTTTTGGGCGCTGGTTTTTATATAAAAATGTTGCCGCTGACCGGCTAGAGGGCAATAATACGTCTGCTATGATGCGTGAAATACCGTTAGAAAACCAAATTAATAAGCTTGCTTTCCTAATTTATTTTTTAGAAAGACTGTGTTGCAACGAACTGCAGAATAAACTACGTAAATTGGCATATAATTGAACTTTCTCTAGTCTGTCGTGAACTCTCGTGACTGGAAAGTGTGTTTTAGCGAAAGCTATTGATAGAAGCAAAAAAAAATGACTTTTGGTGTCACGTAGGAAAATGTTTCTAAATTGTACCAATAATCAAATAAAATTTAAAAATTGCCCAGCGACAGAACCACCATAAATAAAGAAAACGTGTTTCCTCAAAAAAAGATCCCCAAAGACGCGGGCCGCCCATTAATATCCCGTCGCATCTGTGTCGTTAAATGCTCGTAGTAAGGAAACGAATAACGTATTATATAAATTTTTAAACCATGTAAGTCCCACATCAAGTTTGCTGCGCCGCGACACGCAACGCGCATGTTGCTTGGCGCGGCTGTACAATTGCTTTTATAAAAACAAAATTGCGAAAAATTATGTTTCAACGTAAGATAAAGCAGCTGACCGGCTGGAGGCTGGTGTGAAATACGGTTTGAAAACCAAACAAATAAATGTGCTCTATTAATTTTTTTGGAAAAACGGTGTTGCAACGATACACATTGGCAAATAATTACACTTTCCATGGTTCGCCCTGAAATCTCGTAAGGAAAAACTGTGTTTTAACGAAAGCTGTTGTTAGAACCAAAAAATTGCTTTTAGTGTAATATCAAAAAAACCTGGATAAAATTGTACCCAAAACCAAGTAAAAAAATTAAACAGTAGCCAGTGAGCATCGGGTGGACGATAACATAAATAATCAAAAAAACGTGTTTCCTCAAATATGCCCCCCAATGACGCGGGCCGCCCATTAATACTTCGTCGCTCTGTGTCACTCGCAGTAAGGAAACGAATAACGCATCATAATGATTTTTAACCACGTCAATCCCATGCCAAGTTTTCCGCATCGCATTCCGCATTCCTTTTAGTGTTACGACTGAACATATCGCTATAAATGTACCCAAGACCAATCAAAATTCCACCAACCAGTGAGCAGCGGGTGGGCCAGCATAAATAAAAGACGTGTTTCCTCAAAAAAGAATCCCCCAAAGACGCGGGCCGCCCATTAATATTCCGTCGCATGTGTGACATCGAAAACTGGAAGTAAGGAAAGGAATAACTCATCAAATAAATTTTTAACCACGTAAATCCCATCTCAAGTTTGCTGCGCCGCGACACGCAACGCGCATGTTGCTTGGCTCGGCTGTACAATTGCCTTTATAAAAACAAAATTGCGAAAAATTATGTTTCATCGAAAAAGATTGCAGATGACCGGCTGGAGGGCAGTAATTCGCGCATGATGTATGCGGTGTAAAATACCGTAAGAAAACAAACAAATAAATTTGTTTTATAAACCTTTTTTGGGGAAAACTATGTTACAACTATATTTAAGATACGTTATGTAAACAAACTGGCAATGAACCTCTGTTCGATCCGTACTGAAAAGACTTCATTGAAAAGTGTATTTTAGCCGCCTCTATTGACGGAATAAAAAAATTGTAAGAAGTATGGTTAAATTCTCAAAAACCATAAGATGGCTTTACTAGTTTTTTTTTGGAAGAACTATGTTGTAGCCGGATTTAGGATATATTACGAAAATTAGCAAATAACTAAACTGTTTCTGGTTCGTGCTTAAATTTCGTAACCGGAAAATGTGTTTTAGCGAGTTCCATTCATCGAAATCAAAAGATACATTTAGTCCTTGGTCGAGATCTGGTACTGCTAAAATCATGTGAAGTTAAAGCGAAGCTGAGACAGATGGAATGTTTTCCCTAGTACGACCCAGTACGAGCTTTTATTTTCTAGAAAAAATGTGTTTTACCAAAACGCATTACACGGCACGGAAACAGCCTCATTAATCACCGAGAATTTCTATTAATAGAAATGAGAAAAATGCTTCCAATATGGGTTTGCCGCAATCTGATAACTCATTTTAAATTTAATCACATTACAAGCAGTGTTTTCAGGTCGCCGTGAAAGTTAATGGAACGTTATAAAGATATCCTACTATATATAAAAAAATAGTGTTTGTGTGTGTGTGTGTGTGCATTTGAATGCAACTTCCGTCACCGTGTTCCAGTAGTATCTCAAGGAGGGAAGTATTTAAGGGTATGTTCGATACGTCATTAGATGCGTAATCGGCTGGAGATGACTGCACACATATCAGATTTTACAAAACATGCTGTTTTCGACATTAAAATTAAGTTTTTCATGGAAAATCGGACACCCCAATTTGTTAGGATCAAATTAGCATGCACCGGAAGTCGCGGTAGCCTATATAAAGGGACGGCAAGAGCATTTTTCATTTTTCGTCATCCGAATCCGGGAAAATTATGCAAAGCCAAGAATATCATGGGGGCAGACGGGGCCAGGGTTGAAAAGACGCGAAGCGGCTTTTCAACCCTGGTGTTGTACCAAAATACAATGAAGCGGACGTCAAACCCTTCGACATTTTTGGTTTTTGCATTTGCATAACCACACCCATTTTGCCGTCAAATACCGTTACTAAACAAGTTAAATCAACTGGCTTTATTAATTTATTTGTTCAAGCTATTGATTTAAGTCCGGATGTGGCGAAGTCGCGTGATTGAAAAAGTGTGTTTTAGCCACTGCTATTGCTCACAATAAAAATATTTATTCAATTAATGATTTAGTCAATTCAGGCCGTTATTTATTATTTATTATCTATTTGTATTTATAAATACCGTCAAAAAAACAACAAAATAAACGTAATTTAATAATTTCTTTTTACAAAAATTTTGTTTCGACAAATTGCGGGATAGACAACGGAACACGCTTATTAATAACTGCAGTGTAATCTTGTACAATCGCGTAAATAAAAAGTGTTTTAACGAAATCGATTGACAGAAATAGAAGGATGTAGGTAATACCGTCAAGAAAAAAATAGAAGGATAGAAGGATCGGCTATATGCCATCTATGCAAATCTCATCGCAAAAAAACATTTATTCGCCAAAAAAAATCGACAGGCGAGAGAGTGGGAGAGACATATAGGGAGAGAGAGCGAGAGAGAGAGAGAGAGAGAGAGAGAGAGAGAGGGAAAATCCGGGAGACAACTAGACAGCGAGAGAGAGAGAGTGCTACACAGTGAGAGACATCGACAGGGGGGCTGGTAGAAGAGGAAGAAATATGGATCACACAGAATTTGCTAGAGAGCGCTAGGGAGCGAGAGAGAGGGGAAGTGAGAGGGACAGAAGACAGCGCGAGAAAGAGAGCATCTACTAGGCCATATGCTGACGACGGCGCTCGGCGCGGCGGCTCGCGTCCAAAAAGTCTTGCTCGCGGTGCATGGCGCGTTGTCGTTCGCGTTGCATCAGCCCGATCGCGTTGAAGTCGACAATCTCCGAGGAGGAGACCAAGATTGTGAAGTAGATCGCCGCGATCACCCTGCAAAATTGCGATATTTTGGTACTTTGGCATTATCAGGGGGGGGGGGGTGCAAAGATCATTTGGGATGAGCGAGAGGGGGAGGGGGCAGGCTAGCAGAGATCATTTGGGATGAGAGAGAGGAGGAGGGGGCAGGCTAGCAGAGACCATACCACCCACATGATGACGGTGATGCAGATGGCGAGGTGAAGGCTGCCAACGAGTGCCGTCTCGCTGTACTCCTCGCTGCCCCAGGTGTTCGCCTTGATGTGGACCATATTCTCGGGCTTCGGGTCTTGGAGGTGGTCGCCAACGCGGAAGTTGTCGGAGTGCTGAAAAAAGTAGAATTTCTCAAAGAATCTCTGCTAGCCTGCCCTACCTCTGAGATGACGGCCGTGCATTGTGGGTGTCCACGGCGGATGGCCCAGCGGTGGTTGCGGGGCTTGTAGTCGATCTGAAGCGTCTGCTCGCCGACGCGGCAATACCCCACCTGTATGCAGGTCTGCACGGTGAGGCTGTCGCCGACGCGGATCTGCAGCTTGCTCTTCTGGACGTCAATGTAGAACTCCTTCGTCACCAGCTCTTCGTGGTTGTCCGGGGGGACCTGGAGTGGTACTGGACTGTTAGCGGGGGAGGCATAGGCTCAGGCTTGGCTTAAGCTTGGCTTAGGCTTGGCTTAGCCTTGGCTTAAGCTTGTCTTAGGCTTAGGCCAGACAGGCTGTCTTAAAGGTCCTATCAAGCCACCGTCTGAAACCCCGCCCGTTTTTCCGCATATTCCGGAAGCCAAACCTTGAAAAATGTTGACTTTTCCGTCGCGGCCGACCAAAGGGGCGTCCGCTCTTCCACTGGATCGGATTCTGGAATGCAGGTGATAGAGAGAGCGAGGGAGAGAGCGAGAGACAGAAAGAGAAAGAGAGAGAGAGCGAGAGAGAGAGACAGAGAGTGAGCAAGAGAGAGAGACAGAAAGAGAAAGAGAGAGAGAGATAGAGAGAGAGAGAGAGGGAGAGCGAGAGAGAGAGAGAGAGAGAGCGAGGCATCCGACTTACCCAAAAATCCGTCCTTAAAGAAGATGGTGTAGTTGTTCTTCTGCTGGAACTCGATCGTCCACCCCTGCACTTTATTCTCCAGGTCTTCGCCGTTGAAGAGGTAGATTTTGAAGCTGAACACCAGACTCAGCAGGGTTTAAAGGGGATGTGACAGCTAGGTATTAGTAACCCAATTTAAGTAACCCACAGCGGAACGGACACGCGCGCCGGGTCGGCGCTGAACAGATTCTCGCCCAAGCAGGCGCGACTGAAAAAGACTAATTTTCGACGATTCCTCAATGATCTCTGCTAACCATCCAAAAAGGGGCGTGGCTTACGTGAACTTGATGCGCAGCGTGTACGGCTCGCCCATCGACTTCACGGCGGGCAGCACGTAGCTGTAGAAGCGGCGGTCGAAGATGAGGTTCGTGTCCGTGTAGAGGATGTCGAGATAGCTGGAAAGGGTCAAATGATCTCTGCTAGCCTGCCCCCTCCCCCTCTCTCTCATCCCAAATGATCTCTGCTAGCCTGCCCGCTCCCCCTCTCTCTCATCCCAAATGATCTCTGCTAGCCTGCCCGCTCCCCCTCTCTCTCATCCCAAATGATCTCTGCTAGCCTGCCCCCTTCACTCTCCCAATCCTAAATTTTCTCTGCTTGCTTGCCCTCCAAAAACTTGACGAACTTGCTGATCATCGTCGGCGGTTTCTTGGGAAGTCCTTCACATTTCCCTAGCGCAGAGAGGCCGTCGGTGGGGACGAGAAGCAGAGACGACCAGACGAAGAGGGAAAACATCGTCGAATGCTGATTTAGAGATCTGTCTTGCCCTGGGGCAGAGCTGGATGCAAATAATGCATGCAAATTAGGGCAGGCTAGCAGGGGTTCTGGAGACTGTTAGAGCAGAAGCTATGCAGGCTTTCCAAGACCTCAAGTTGCTCACAACGAGTGGTTTTTAGTGGAGTTTCGAGGTAGCACTAAGCCTCTTTTGTGTATAATTTTACGCTGATTCCGAATCCGTTTTCAAAAAGTGCTCAACGTCAATTTTGAAAAAGTTACGAGGTGTTTGTTTATTCCCAAAAGAGGCAAAATAGTCGTTTCTCAAGCTCCTCACAAAAACGCAGAAAAATTTTTTGATGAAAATATTTAACACGTCGCGAGAAAAAAAAACTTTGTAAAAAGAAAAAGAGAGAAAAAAACAGCGCCGACCTTTTAAAGTTCAAAAATTTCAATTATTTTTACCTTTTTCGGATTAAAACACCTAGTAACCTCTTCAAAATGAGGTTCAGCTTCTTTTTGAAAACGGCTTCTGATTCAGCGTAAAATTCTGCACAAATTAGGCTTGGTCCCACCTCCAAATCCCGGATCGCTAAAAAACACCGCTTGTCAGTGGCATTACCTTGTATCCGCATTCCTGAATAAAATTAGCAACAAAAACAAACAATTTTCTAGCATCGAACTTGAAACAAGTTTTTATTCCAGCGGATACTGGACTGCTTGCGGGGGCAGAGAATATTTATTTTTCGGGTTTTTGATAAATACAAAGTGCCATCTAAAACAACAAAAAAATATTTCCCTTGAGCGTTAAGAATTGAAGGCCCATATTTATGTATGTTTAAAACAATTCATCAAGTTTTTACGTTAGCAAATTGTGGAAAAAAAAGCTTAGAATCACTTCCCCTTTGACATTAAAAATTAGATCCTCAGGAAAAAAGTGCCCCCCCCCCCCGATAAGGAACCAGAAAAATTTGGAAAAATTCGATCCGAAAAATGTGTTTCGCGAATTGGGTTCTACTATTATGCCCTGAGGATATTAATAAAGTCGAAATACATCGGTAAAATCTTTCATTTATTTTTTCTCTTTTTTAAACTCCTAAAAACGCATTAAAACTTTATTTATATAGAAAAACTGGACCTTAACCAAAAAAAGTAGTTTTTTCGCTTTGGAAACTCGAGAAACAGATTTTTTGCCGTATTTTGCATCGAGTGTTACTAGAAATCTTTATCACAGCCAAAACAATACCCAAAACAACATCACAATCTCCGAAAGCAGCCCTGCACAAAAGACCGGGGCACGTCGACGCCCTTCTGGTGATTGATCGACCTCCTATGCAGATATTCCGTCTTCTGGCACTCGAATAAGCCGGAGAAGATCGCCTGGGAGCTCTTCTAAATCGTGAAAATAGCTTTGAAAAAGTTAAAATATAACAAAACAAAATCAATCGTTTAATCGGCGTACCCGTGAAAAAGTAGTACGCCCTCGTGCCGTCCTGACGCGCGTAGAAGCGCTCGTCCAGCTTCGCGCCGCGTCCAAAACGCACCATCGCGTGGTCGTTGGCGCCGTAGTCGCGGATGAAGAGCAGACCGCCGGGCTAAAACAGATTAGTAATATGTCGGTTCTTAAGCCTTATCGGGGAGCGAACTCGAAAAAATGTCTACTAACGCAATCGCAAGTGTTTTCAAGCGGAAAAGTTGCGTAAAAAACCTCGAAGGAAGAAAGAAGGAAGAAAAAAACCTTGTCAAAAACTGTTATTTTTAAAATCTTCGGTAATATGTTAAGTATTTTAATAGTTTTAATAGCGTTCCAAGTAAAATTTCAGTCAACCCTATCCAAATAACTAAGAAAATTTTGACGTTTTTGTCCAAAAAGCTCATATTTTGGATTTTTTTAATAAGAATTTTTGGCTTTTTTATAAAGTTTCTACGTTTAGGAATAGCAAAAAAAAACTATTTAGAAACATTTTTACGATTTATAATTCGAAAAATCGAAAAAATCGAAAAATTGCACTCGACTACCGTCAAGGCTCGGCCTGCACATACCTTGACCAATTTCGCCAAATTTTCCGCGACAATCCGGTGCTTTTCGGGGTGTATCGCCGAGATGACAAAGATGAGGGAAGCCACATCGGCCGGGGCGGAAAATGGGGATTCCGGAAGTGGGATAGATAGGTCGACGACGGAGGTTTCGACTGGAATCTTTTTCTCCTTCGCACGTTCCTCGAGCAGCTTGACGGCGTTCTTCGAAAAGTCGAAGGCCTGGAAAAGGTATATGAGCTTTTTAGTGTATTTTTAGAACTTAAAAATAGAGTTTTAGCGTTTGGAAATGAAGCAAAAACCTTGCAATCTTTTGAACTTTTAAAACACTCAAAACCGAACTCAAGTACGCCTAAAAACCTCTAAAAAGTACCCTAAAACGCTTATCACGTGTAAAATACGTGTTTCCGTGGATTGGCGGGTTTCTTGTTTCCCTAAAAAGTTAATCCGTCATCAATACGCGTGAAAAAAATACCGCAAAACCACCCAAAACGCTAAAAACTTTAAAAGGGTTAAAAGGTATTGTTAGCGAAAGTTGAAAAACTCGGTTGTTAAAAAGTGTTAAAACTTGCTAAAAGTATAAAAACGTTGTTAAAATTATTCATGAAATTTGCCGAGTTTAAAACAGCTAGTTTTATATAGCAAAAAGCTTATTTTTCTTAATCCACCTGAAATCTCCAATGCGAATACGCCTCGGCGATCGGAAACAGCATATTCCCCACGCCGCAGCCGGCCTCTAGGTAGAGGATCGGGTTCTAAACCGTACTTTAAAACTATAAATTTTAGATACCTCTGTATTCAACTCGCCACAAAGCCTGGCCATATCCCCGGGGCTCCAATTCCTGTCCTTGAAAAAGTTGGCCTGGTTCCGGTGGTAGAAGCGGTCCCAATTCGCCTGCGCCTCGATTTCAAGCTTGCGTTTCTGAAGGAATTTTGTATTTAGACGTGGAAAATATGTGTTTCAGTCAATTAGCTGACTTCTTGTAGTCCATAAAACTTAATATGAACGAGATTAAGCCCAACATGGCCAAAAAAGCTCGCAAAGCCATAACAGAACGTCCCTAGAAACTCTAAAAATCCCGCGAATCTATTTTTTTTGCTTTACATACAAAAACCCCTGAAAACTGCGGCTAACCCTGAATGTAAATTGCGTAGTTTTACTGCTTAAGAGTATACAAAGTTCGAAAAATGTGTTCCAAAAAATTCGCTGACTTTTGTTGGCCCAGAAAATGTAATTCCATCGGCATAGCGGTTAGCAAATTATCAGAACGAAGTTCCCGAAAGGCCGATTTAATCTTTTTCTAGATTATACCAGGGTTGAAAAGCCGCTTCGCGACTTTTCAACCCTGGCCCCGTTTTGGACCGCATGCTGTTCTACGCTTTGCATAATTGCGCTCATTCAGATGACCAAAAAAATGAAAATGATTAGCTTCTGACCCTTTATATAGGCGACTTCCTACTTCCGGTCGATGCTAATTTTTCCTAGCGAAGAGGGTTTTACTAAAACTTAAATTTAATATCGAAAATGGCTGATTTTTATAAATCTGATATGTGGGCAGTCATCCCTAGACTATTACGCACCTAATGACATATCGTACCCACCCCTAACTTCTTCCCCTATAGAGATACGACTGGAACAACGATACGGAAGTGGATGCAAAGTGGCACACACACACACACAGACACTACTTTTTTATATCTAGATTATATACCTCTTTAGAAAATACTATTTTTTACACCATGTTCGTTTCTGAAACAAAATATTGAATTTAGACGCTTAGAAATTTTTCGGAAACTTTAGGCGGACCAAAAAATGTGTTCTAGGCGATTGGCTGACTTTTCGGCGTCAATAAAATCTAATTAACCGAAAGAAAAAGCCGGAAATCTATTGAAAAACATCCCAGGAACCTAATTAAACGTGCTAAAGCCCATAAAACTCTTCAAAACGCTTTACGTGCTTCTCTTCTTCTTTTCTAATTCTAAAAACAATCTTTCTTCTATGAGAATTACTACAATAATAGGATAACATCATGCAAAGTTCAAAAAGTGTGTTCCAAAAAATTGGCTGACTTTTTATCACTCGTAAACTTGAATCATGAGTAGAAAAAACGGTCAAAACCTGCCCAAAAACGTCCCAAAACGCTAATTTAAAGTTTTTCCAGAATATAGAATCCTTTCGAGCGCTCTTCTTTATTTAAAACTACTTTTCTATACACTAAATCGTCATGGTAACAAAAGACAACCTTAAAATCGGTGGCCGGCTCTTGTTTCGCCAGCTTTTCGCGGTCTTCCTCGGTCAATTCGACGGGCTCGTGGGATGTCGAGCCGGGCATAAAATCAACAGCTTCCGCCGCCTCCATTATACCTTAAAAAGTTATATTTTTGAGTTTACAAATTCTTAAAACAATTTTTTAAAGCTAAAAACCCCATTTCTTTGCCCAAATTTTGGGCTGCCGCCCTGCGACTACGAACTACACCGCTCAATTTCATGGGCTCATTCCGGGGTTTTTGACGATTTTTTTCAAGGTTTTTATAGTTTTTAGACTTTTTAGATACCTTTTTCTATGTATTTTTTATTAAATAAGACGTAAAAGTATAATTTTATTGTTTAGAAGCTCGGAAAACGACCCCTGGCCACCAGCTGATGCCCGTAGAAGCATGGACACGAATTTTCAGGTGAGAAATTAGGTAGAAAGCTGTTTTATATTGTTTTACAGCTTATTTTCGGTTAAAGGAAATGTAAAAAGCTTGTTTTTAAGCTAAAAATAATTAAAAACTACTGGAAACTATCTTTCTTAGTATATTTTGCTTGGAAAACGCAAAATTGCCGATTTTTACGCCAAAAATTGAATGTTTTCGGTATCTTTAAGGGTTCTAACTACTTTTCCCGGTTGCAATACAGCTAAAGTTTATCAAAAAACTATCAAAATACATACTTTTATAGGAATATTTGGTCTTCTAGGCTAAATTGGGGCCATAATTCTAGTAAATACCTTTAAAACCCTATTTTTTTTAGTTCTCGAACCTGATCGGCACGGTCTACCGAAACGGGCGCGTGCTCTTCTCCCCGGACGGCTACTCGGTGATCAGCCCCGTCGGCAACAAGATCTCGATTTTTGACTTGAAAAAGTATACCTATTCTTAATTTTGATATAATATCCTTTTTAGCAACTGCTCGCGCACAATCTCCTTCAAATGCCAGCACTCCATCCAGCACATCACGCTCAACGCCGAGGGCACGCATCTCGTCGTCATTGATGAGGGTGCGTTCGAAATGAAATAATTTAGTTTTACGAAGATGTAGGTTAAAAAGTGTTGAAAATGACGTTCATTAACGTCGATCATTAAGAGAATGAGCTAGCCTAAACTTTTTGACTTTTAAGTTTTTTTTTAGACAATACTCCTTTTGTAAAAGCCGAACTACAAGCCGGCTTGTGCCAAGAAAAGCTCGTTTTAGCTTGCGAAAAAATGAAACACTAGAATGATCTTAAATAGAATCTGATAGCCAAAACGGCGCAATTTCGATCTATCTAGCGGCTTTTTCGATCAGCTGAAAAATATATTTTGTTATTTTTCTCTAAGCTATGAAGCTATAGCCGTAAATTTATCGCTAAAACGCATTAGGCAAACAGCTAACAATCGGGGTTATTTTAGCGAAGCTAACTCTAAAGATACTATACCAATAAAGGCTCATTTTAGCTTGCGTATGAATGAAACACTGAAATTTGCTTGGAAACGAAAACTTTTCACAAGCTTTAGATACTTTTAGCGCGCAACCGTGTTTAGAAACGGAATTTTAGACATTTTTGTGATCAATATTTGACTGTAAAAGGTCCCAAAATTGTTAGAAGAGCTTAGCCACTATTTTGAAAGCAGATCGAAGGTTTATAGCAAGTGTTAAAAGGTTTAACAAAGTTTTTATCGTCATTTCCATCAATTTTCCATAAATTTTGGACAGGTTTTGAACTAAAAACCTATCTATAAAAAATTTAATTGAGTTTAGCGGTAAAAATGGTTTTTAACGAATTTTTTTCGTTTTAAAGAGATCTCTTTGGCAGGGTCCGTCTGTGGGCTTTCCTAGCGTTTCCATGGTATATTCAAAATTTATTTGTTTAAAATTAATTTTGAAATTTGAACTTTTTGGGCCGTTTTCTATCATTTTTAACTTCAAGTAAATGATTGCGCAATCTTTTTCAGGCGGCGAGATCCTGTACGTGAACCTGGAGACGTCCGCCGTCATCCACCAGTTCAAGGCGACAAGGCTGGCGAAAATCGCCGAATTCTCGCCATGCGGACGCTACCTGGCCATCACCCCCGAGAATACGCTGCAGATTCAGCAGGTAATTTTTTGTATTATTTTGCTTTTAATTGCTTTGCTATTTTTTTTTAGATGGGCAGCATGGTGAACAACATGTTCCGCCCGTTTCACCTCATCCGCCTGCTTCACCTCTCGCCGGAGACGCTCACCTCAGTGAGCTGGAGCTGCGACTCGAGGTTCGTGGGGGCAGGCTAGCAAAGGTTTTTAGGGAATGAAGAAATTTTCTATTAGGAACAACTTTTTTTACATATAAACAGCATACGTGTTTTTAAAATATTTATTACTATTCCTAAACGTATAAACTTTACAAGTTTTTATTAAAAAATGCAAAAATATAGATTTGCGGCCTGAATTTCGACTAAAAATTTTCTATATTTGATTTTTAATATCTTTCTGGTAGAATTTTGCTAAAAACGCTATTAAAATACTTACTATTCTTTGAGAATTTTCGAATTTTTTGAGGCGCATTTTATTCTCTGCTTTTCAGGCTGCTCTGCATCGGTGGTGAGGACAAGATGATCCGAATCGCGCCGCGCGTCGACGCGAAGAACTTTACCAACTTCAACATTGCCGCCCACAAGGGCCGCATCGTGTGCGCCGATTTTCAGAAGAATTCGTATGACGTAAGTAGTTTTAAAAAAAAGTGGTTTTTTGGAAAATTGGCTACAAGCTAGGTTATCAGGCGAACGATCCGGGTTCGAATCCCGCCGAGGACGAGCTTTTTGCTTTTGCTAAAAATTTTTGATTTCACGAGTAAGGTAAAAATTCATTTAACCTTCTTCTTTTAGTTGGTCAGCGTCGATCAGCGCGGCCTGGTGAACGCGTGGCGGTGCAGCCTGGCGGTGAGTTTTTGGTTTTATTTAATTTATTTTTTGCTTTCTAGGGCAGCGACCTGCTCGACGGCAAATTCGACAAGGAGGACGAGGTGCGCCCGCTCGAGCTCGCCTACGAGAAGACGAACAAGTGAGCTGTTTTTTTTGGAAGCTCGAAAATTGTTTTTTAAAGGGGTTTCTCTGATTTTTAGGGGTATTTTTCGTCGGGTTTTTGTTTTTTTTATCAGAATACACACGAAAAAAAAACAGAATTTTACAGAACGATCTTTAAAAAAGTGTGTTGTAAATTTTTTAGGCCTAGAAGCATGGGAACAGGCAGGCATTAATCGATCTTGGTGTATGTGAATTAATACAGTGGTATTTAGGAATTTTCTAGGCGTTTTTTTGTTGATTTTTAATTAATTACAAGGCAAAATTCTGCTTGGCTTCGCAAAAATGTGTTGCCTGATTTTTTGTGCTAAAAAAGGATGATAAGCGGCTTAATCCGGGTTTGATAGTGCTCCAAAAAACGTTAGCATTCCTTTTTTTCTCAATGTTTCTTTTAGAGCGCAGCTGCACGACCTGGCCGGCCTCGACCGCATGGAAGACGTCACGGCGGCGGCGTTTCACCGCGACAGCGGGCTGCTCGTTGCCGGATTCGCGAATGGAGTCTTCGTTCTGCTCGAGGCCCCGTCGTTGTCGCTGATCCATAACTTACGGTATGTTTTGATGCGAAGAATTTTGGCACGCAGTATTTTGAAACATTTTTATTTATATCTTTTTTTTCAGCGTCTCCGACATTCGCATCTCCTCGCTGGCCATCTCGAAGGCGGGCGACTGGCTGGCCATCGGCTGCGGCAGGGGCACCTCGGCCCAATTGGTCGTCTGGGAGTGGCAGGTACATTTTTGTTTCATTTTTTTAAAAATTTAAAAATTTCAAAGTTGAGTACGTACCTCTTAGTCACGAAATTTCGGCTTTCCGGGTTACGATACTGACCAGAAGAGGCAATTCCGTTTTTTGGATTACGGTATTGCCCAAATTACGAAACGTTGATTATTTTAATAGTTTTTGAAAAATCTAACTATTAGTATGTGTAAAACTTCCAAAAAAATTCGGCAATTTTTTGACGACATTTTGGGCCAGAATCCATTTATTTTTGGAGATTTTTTTGATGAAAATCTGTAAAGTTTTTCATCAAAATACAATAAAAAACAACTTCGAAAAATTTTTCGTGCGATTGATATTTGAAGAATTAGATGCAATTAAATAATTCAATTCAAACGATCGATAATTCTTCGAAAGATCCAAATTACGGGATTTCAAGGGAACGGTGTTAATTTAAATTTTCTTTTCCAGAGCGAGACGTACGTGCTGAAGCAGCAGTCCCACTCGGAGCGCATCCTGTCCGCCGAGTTCAGCCCCGACGGCGGCCAAATCGCGACCGGAGGCGAGGATGGAAAGGTGATTTTATTGATTTTCTTAGAATCGCTTTAGCAGTGTTCCTTCAGGAAATTTAGATTTAATTATTTTTAAAGTCGCTAGGATTTTAGCAGGTCGGCTAGCAGTGATTTTTGAGTAAAATTAGTTTTTTAAACGCTGGAGAATTTAGGGAATTCAGCATGCCAGCTAGCAGAGATGTTTTAAGAATCTGATTATCACGGTAAAAACAGATCTATGCTTTGAAAATTAGGGTAGGCTAGCAGAGATCCTTTGGGATTCGGTTGATTTTCAGTTTCGGGTTTGCACCGAATTTCCTAAGACTCTCGACTACCTCGCCCCTTGCTTGGCGTTTCGGCTCCCCAAAGGAACTCTGCTAGCCTGCTCAAGGATTTTTAATGGATCCTCAAAAATCTGTGCTAGCTTTCCACTTTTTACCATTTGGCTGGTAATCGATATCGCAGATGCTCGCTGCTCTGTATTATTTTAGCCAGTGTCTGATCCAGTCTGATACCCCATTGGTCGAAACCGGGTGGGCGCTGGTCCCAAAAAGGGGTCCGGGCGCTGGTCTAAGGGCTAGTATTAGCAACATTTTTTTTCGGCGCTTTTGCGCCGTTTATTATATAAAAGCTTTTTTACAGAAGTCCGCAGTTTCGTCTCTGAGGTCCTACGTAGGTCAAAAACTTTTTTGAAGCCAACTGACTCGGAGCGAACCGATAAAAATAAATCGTCAAAGAAAAATTGCAGGCGACGATTAACGCGAAGGAAACTGAAAGAAGCCGAAGAAGAAGCTGATGAAGTCTCTAAAATGCATTCCTTTCTTATCCTCTCAAGATCATCCGTATGCGCTTACCTATCTATGACCTTTAAAGCTTCCTTGATGTGTATAGTACTGTAAAGTTGTAAAAACCCCGAATTTGATATCCAGAGACAAAAACCTCAAAGATAACTGAAACCATTGCCGGTGATAATTTTGAAACCAGAATTTAGCCTTCCTAACGAAAAACTTATTTTTTGATCATATCACCCAAAAAATTGTTCCATCAAAAACTCAAATTTTGATTCCAATGACCGATTCACTTCAAACTTGGCTTAATGGTAGATCAGGGCCTACTAATGTCCAGGAAAAAATATCAGAATTTTTGGACCGGTTTAAGACGGTTTTTCGGGACCAGCGCCAAATCGACCAATCAGCCGACCAATCAAGGTTTTTCCCGGTTTTGGTCCCCTGAAATATCAGCTAGATTGGTTTTAATTGGAATGTAGGTAGCCTAAAGGGTGGACTACCGTATGCTGAAAAGAATATTTAGATTGCTTGCGTCTGCTTCGAGCCTGGGACCAGCGACTGTCACTTTTTTTGGATTTTGAAAATCGGCCAAATTCGGAGTTTTTCTCTTAACAGGGGGGGAGTAATTTTTTAAAAATTTTTCCTTGATGCCGATGATAGAGTAGGATGTGCTCTTTCGAATGACGTATTGTACGTCCGGATCCGGCTCCTCTACGCGGAGCATGGGACCAGCGACACCATTGGTCGAGCCGATTTTGTCCCTGCGATATCCGTCGCTGGTCCCAAAGTGGTCTTCAAATGCACCGAATCGAGTCGCCAGATTTATTCCAGCTTGCTGATGACGTTCCTCACCATCAGTCAACATTTGAAGTCGATCGCTTCCGATTCGGCAGAGATAGCCTACTAATGGCCCCAAATCCCATATAAAAGGGGCAAAATCGGCTCGACCAATGGTGTCGCTGGTCCCATGCTCCGCGTAGAGGAGCCGGATCCGGACGTACAATACGTCATTCGAAAGAGCACATCCTACTCTATCATCGGCATCAAGGAAAAATTTTTAAAAAATTACTCCCCCCTGTTAAGAGAAAAACTCCGAATTTGGCCGATTTTCAAAATCCAAAAAAAGTGACAGTCGCTGGTCCCAGGCTCGAAGCAGACGCAAGCAATCTAAATATTCTTTTCAGCATACGGTAGTCCACCCTTTAGGCTACCTACATTCCAATTAAAACCAATCTAGCTGATATTTCAGGGGACCAAAACCGGGAAAAACCTTGATTGGTCGGCTGATTGGTCGATTTGGCGCTGGTCCCGAAAAACCGTCTTAAACCGGTCCAAAAATTCTGATATTTTTTCCTGGACATTAGTAGGCCCTGATCTACCATTAAGCCAAGTTTGAAGTGAATCGGTCATTGGAATCAAAATTTGAGTTTTTGATGGAACAATTTTTTGGGTGATATGATCAAAAAATAAGTTTTTCGTTAGGAAGGCTAAATTCTGGTTTCAAAATTATCACCGGCAATGGTTTCAGTTATCTTTGAGGTTTTTGTCTCTGGATATCAAATTCGGGGTTTTTACAACTTTACAGTACTATACACATCAAGGAAGCTTTAAAGGTCATAGATAGGTAAGCGCATACGGATGATCTTGAGAGGATAAGAAAGGAATGCATTTTAGAACTTCATCAGCTTCTTCTTCGGCTTCTTTCAGTTTCCTTCGCGTTAATCGTCGCCTGCAATTTTTCTTTGACGATTTATTTTTATCGGTTCGCTCCGAGTCAGTTGGCTTCAAAAAAGTTTTTGACCTACGTAGGACATCAGAGACGGAAATCACAGCATACACAGATACCATCGATAATTTTCGACAACCGAAAAATCCTGCAAAATTATCCCAAAACCCAATTTTCTTTCAAAAAAATCGCGCCGCTCCGCGGCGCTGGTCTAAACCCAGTCTTATCCCTCCGGGCGCTGGTCCCAATGGTCGCTATCCCCTATGTTTCCCAGACTGGTCTGATCGTACCACTGCAAAGCTGCAACATCTTTTTTCAAAAAAAGAAGCAAAAAAACAAGCAGTAGGCGGGCTAGCAGAGGTACTTTGGGGTTTTTACTGGATCTTAAATTTCGTGTTGCTGTCGGAATTCCTGAAAAATCTCTGCTAGCTTGCCGCGTTTTTGTAGATGAACGTTTTAGAACAATTTTCGCACCTGCTACCCTTCCGCTATTATCTTGGCTAATTTGTCATCCTACCGTTTCCAACCTGAAACCTTGTTTTTCCAAGGCTCTATTTGTTCATTGATTCTGCTGGATTTAGCAGGCCAACTAGCAGAGATCTTTTAGGAATCTGATTCTCTAGGTAAAAACCGATCTGTGCCTCAAAAAATTAGGACAGGCTAGCTGCTAGCAGAGATCCTTTGGGATGCGGTTGATTCTCAGTTTCGGGTTTGCACCGAATTCCGAAAGAATCTCGACTACCTCGCCACTTGCTTGGCGTTTCTGCTTTCCAAAATGGTCTCTGCCAGCTTGCTAGAGGACTTTTAGTCGGTCCTGAAGAATCTCTGCTAGCTTGCCGCCATTTACGGGTTTTTGTTGATGAACGATTTTAAGCAACGTTTTCCTGCCGGATGGTTTTTGCTATTATCTCATCTTGCCGCTACAAAATTGCAACATTTTTTTTTCAAAAAAGCAGCAAAAAAACAAGCAGTTGGGATACAAGCAGAGAACCTTTGGGATATTCTGGGTTATAAATTTCGTGTTGCCGCACGGAATTCCTGAAAAATCTCTGCTAGCTGGCCGCCCTTTACGGGGGGTTTTGAAGATCAACGATTTAGGAATTTGCACGATCCCAGATTATTTTTGCGAGCGCCTCGTCGTACCACTTCCAGGCTGCAACACCATTTTTAAAACAAAACAACACGGCTCTTGCTTTTTTATGCATTCTTTACAACCTTTTATTGAAAAAAATCCACTTCTAAAACGACAGTATTATTAGTGGTATTTTAGGCTTTTTTAAAGCATTTAAAACGTACTTTTTAAGCTGAAAATCCGGGCAATTTTTTATTGATTTTACGCTAGTTTTATAGTTTAATTTTGACGCGGTTTTTTACGCATTTTTAATGCATGTTCAACTCCCCCTTTGCAGCTAAAAGTCTGGTCGGCGCGTACGAGCTTCTGCGTCGTCACCTTCACCGAGCACACTTCCGGCATCTCCTCGGTGGCCTGGACCCAAAACGGAAAAGCCGTGCTCTCAGCGTCTCTGGACGGCACCGTCAGGGCCCACGACTTGAAGAGGTACATCTCAAAAATATTAAAATATGCCAAATGGCGTTTGCGTTTTTATTTTTTGCATTTTAGTAATTTAACTTTTTTTCCTGTCTTTTTGCGTTGCTTAAGAAAATATATCCTTTTTTAGGTACCGCAACTTCCGGACCCTCGTCTGCCCCGAGCCCACGCAACTCGGCGCGCTCGCCGTCGACGCCGCTGGTGATATCGTGATCGCGGCCGCCAAGGAGCTGTTCAGTGTGAGGATTTTTTTGAAGTTAGGGGCGGTCTAGCAGAGAAAATGTGGGGATTTATGATTGAAAAATGTGTAACAAATATTTGGGCGGGCAAACTAGCGTGGATTTTTGCGGAAACCGGAAACTTCCAGCGGGACGGCTAGCAGAGACTATTGGGCGATTTATGCCGAACGGCTTGGGGCAGGCTAGCCGAGATCATTTGGAAGCCAAAAATTCGCTCGGCGGCTGGAATTTAGGGCAGGCTAGCACGGATTTTTGCGGAAGCCGGAAACTTCCAAGGGGCAAGCTAGCAGAGATCCTTGGGGGAACGGACTAGAGCTGACGAATTCCGAAAATTCGTTTTGCTTTTGCCGGATTTGAAAAAATGTTTCGTCGAAATACTCGCTTCACGCTTTATATTTATTTTTATTGGCCCGCCGATTTGATATTAGAATGCTAGAAAAAAAGCATTTGAGCAAGGAGGCAGGCTAGCAGAGGTTTTTCACCAGTTCCGATTTTTTCAACCTTCTAATCCCACTTTTTTTTCAGGTATTCGTGTGGAGTCTGGAGACGGGTCGTCTCCTCGACGTCCTCGCCGGCCACAGCTCCATCGTGCCCTCCATCTCCCTCCACGGCAACCAGCTCGTCACCGGCTCCCTCGACAAGACGTTCAAGTAATTTTTTAAATTTTTAGAATTTAATTATATTTTGTATTTTATTTCTCTTCTTGAAGAATTAGGTCATTAAGAAAATGGAATGATTCCATATCAGAAACCCTACATTTTTAAAAGCTTTTTAACGCGTTTAAAACATAAAAAATTATTAAAAATTAGCTAGATAAATTGTTTTTGGAAACTGATCGACATCAAGGCTAGAATTTATAAACTATGTAAAATTCGACGCCAAGCAATTCAGATAAATTAAATTTTACGAAGTTAAAATCGCTAAAAGTAAATTTTAGCAATTTTGGGCATGGTGTTCGTCGTGATTAAGTTTGACAAAATCAATAGGAATCCTTTCCCAATTCGAAACATTTTAATTTTTTTGGAATCGCCAAATTTAATTTGTTTTAATTTGATTTGCAGACTGTGGAACGTGACGGAGTCGCAGACGGTCGACCACACGGATCTCGTGTGCGAGTGCGTGGCCATCCGCTTCTCCCCATGCGGCAACCTGATCGCCGTGCTGACGATGGACTCGACCATTGGCTTCTACTCGACGGTATTCATTTTTCCTTTGTTTTCGATTTATTTTGATTTCTCTATGTTTTTTACTAGTTTTACTGGAAATTCGCAAAACATGTTTCAGGAAATAGGTTGCTTGAAATTTCAGGTCTTGCCCCTAATTTGGAGTTCATTTTCGTCTTACAAATTTGCCATTTTATCGTAACTCCAAATTTTATTTTTTATTTTAGCTCGTTAAAAAGTGACGGGTTTGATACTGGATCGGCATAGCTTCTCCGCCCCCCCCCCGCTAAGAGAAAAGGGAATTGAGCGAAAAATTGGTTGCGGGATTTTTGAAAATTTTTGTTTCAACAGGCCACCGGGAGAATTGATTCGAGTTTTTTGTTGATGATTAGCTGGTTGTATCCATCCGCAAAAATCCGTTCATAATGACTGTTACTAATTTAATTTTTTTTGATTAATTGTTATTGGTTTTATTTTTTTATTAATTGTTATTAATTCTATTTTTTTTATTGATTTTATTGATCTCTTTAATTAGACATTAGAAACTCTTAATTTGAACTAATCAGATTATTCAGCAAATTCAGCTATATAAATGTACTTTAGTTTTTCGGGTTTCGTTTTTTTTACAAAAATTTTACAAAATTTATGTTTCTACAGAAAATCAAGCGGAATTCGAGCGGAGTTTTTGCATTCCAGAGCAGCTTGCATCGAAAAAATGGCGATTTTCTTCCAGAATTTTCTGACGCTTTAAAATGTAGGATTTAGCTATTTTAGAAGATTTATAATACAAATTTAATTCTCCTAATATTTCAGGACATGGACCACGTCGGGTCGATCGACGGTCGCCTGGATTTTGAGGCCGGTCGCTCCAAGTTCGACGCGATCAAGAAGAGCACTTCGGAGAGGAATAAGTACGCTTTTGGCCTTAAAATTGTCCGGTTCATATTTTCAAAATCGACATTTAATGCGTTTAAAAATTAAAAAATTGTCTTTTTAATTCCATTTTCAATGTCGTTTATATAAATTTTCAGATCGCTGACCTCAATCTGCTTCTCCCCGGACGGTTCGCTGCTGATCGCCGGCGGCGAGTCGAATTTCGTCTGCTTGTACTCTGTAGCCGAGAGACTGTTGCTCCGCAAGTTCACGCTCACCCTGAATCGAAGCCTTGATGGAGTTGTGGTGGGTATTTTGCAGAGGTTGCTGGGGATTTGAGGGGGAGGGGCAGGCTAGCAGAGATCATTCGTGAGAACCAAAAAGGAATTCTATCGACAAACACAAAAGTGCTTCGGCTACTTTTTGAAACATTTTTTTTCGACGATTTTCAGTGTTTTTTGGGCAGACTAGCAAAGATTTTTGTGCAATTTTAGCTGAATTTTTTAATTCCTAGGGCAGGCTAGCAGTGATTTTTGAGGAATTTTTGAAGATTTTTTACTTCTGTTTTTCAGCCCGACATCAACCGGCGCAATTTCTCGGAATTCGGCAACATGCAGCTGTGCGACGACAGCGATTCGGATGATGATCAGGCGGCCAAGGTCAGGGTTTTTTCTCCCTTTTCAATGATTTTTATTTCTAGAAACAACTCAAGCTGCCCGGCACGGTCCACTCGGATAAGGGCGAACGCTCGGCCAAGCCGCAGATTGCCGTCCACAACCTGTCGTTCTGCCCGACTGGTTGGTGATTTTAATAGTTTTGTTTTCTATTTGTTTGTTTAAATCGCTCGAAATGGTGTTTAAAAATCGGGTTTTTGATAGGCAAGCTAGCAGAGATCTTTTGGGAACGGTTGGAAATTTTTGGGAATTGGGAAGGAGCTGCAAAAATTACAAAAAATTTTTCGTGGTGAAATCAGCCGTTTTATTGCGCTTGTGGAGCCAAAATGAAACTCGAGATTCGATGAAACCCTTTTTCGTCAAGGTCAGCTAGCAGAAAGCCCGACTCGAAACTTTAAATTGGAATTAAATGAGGTTTATAAAGCCGTCAGGAAGCTAAAATGGGCGCAGAAAATTCGACTATTTGTTGGCAGGGCAAGCTGGCAGGGATGTTTTGGGAGAGACCAGCGCCTCGAGGTTTTATTGTGCTTGTGCAGCCAAAATCGATCTCGAGATTCGATGAAACCCTTTTTCGTCAAAGTCAGCTAGCAAAGATTTTTAGGGATTTTTGAAAGACTGAAAATTCAAATTTAGGGCATTTTAGAAGTTTCCTGGGTTGGAAAATGTTTAATTTATTTTTGGAGTGTTTGAATTGGTCTTAAAAGTTCAAAAAAGGTATAAAAGGCAGGCTAGCAGGGATTTTTGAGGAATTATGAATGTAGACATATTGTTTTACGACTAAATATGGTTTTTTTTGCGTTTTAACCGATTTATAAAGTTCAAAAAAATGTATAAAAAGCAGACTAACAGGGATCTTTGAGGAATCGTAATTTTAGAAAAATTGGATTTTTTCACGATTTAGAGGACTTTTGAAGGTAATTTGCTTGTTTTTCAGGCCGTCGCTTCTCGGTGTGCTCGACGGAGGGGGTGGCGGTGTACTCGCTGGACATGCTCACCCTGTTCGACCCGTTCCAGCTCGACTCGAGCACCAGCCCGGCCACCGTTCAAAAGTAATCTTTTTCCGGGCGTAAAATATAGCTTATTCACGACTTTATTTTAATTTTCCCTTTTCCAGGCACCTCTCCCTCAACGAGTACTCGACGGCCCTGATGGCGGCGCTGAAGCTGAACGAGAACACGCTGGTGACGCAGTGCCTCGAGGCGACGCCCGTCGGCCAGAGTACGTGATTTTTGGGGCTTTTGCATTATCGGGGGCGGGAATTTTTCCCTGTCGATCCTATTTTTCCAGTATAAATAGAGTTTTTTCTAAAATATTTTTTACGATTCCTAAGCAAAAGCTTGGCAAATTTGTAGCAAAAAAAATACAAAAATATCGATTTTTCGAGCAAATTTCAAGGGTTTTCTACAGTGTTTGGTAACCAGATGTCGCGGGCTGGGGTCCGGAGGTCCTAAAGGGGAAAAGGGTCCGGAGGTCCTAAAAAAAGGGAAAATCGGCGGAAATGAGGGCGAAAATAAGGGGGGGTCAGACAGGCGCGCGACTAGAGTGAAGTCTGAGGGAAAAGCAAGTAAAAGGCTAAAAGTGAGAAAGAAAAAGCGCTAGAAAAGAGAGAAGTGACTGGTAGATGGAAGGGGAGAACGTATAGGGCCATTTGAAAGGAAGGGAAAGGGAGAAAGGGCCATGATTGATGTGCAGCGATCGGCGACATCACCTAAACGGGACCGGATTTAGGCATGAAGCGGAGCATGGGACGATTTCATATTTGGTGAGCAGAAAGAGAAAGGGTTTTGCTATGAAATGAGGGGTCGATCATCTTGCTAGCTCTTGGGAGGGCAGAGAAATTGGGGAAAAGGTGCGGAAAAACAGGCCAAATTTGGGGCGAAAAAAGGGCCCAAAACATAACCTCGGCGCGGTTTTTTCGATTGTTTGACCTGAAGGAAAGGTGATAGAGGGATGCAATGTATAGAAGAGTTGTAGACTAGACTGCGGGCTACAGACTGGTGGAAAAATTTTGAGAAACGGTAGAATGACGGCTGAGATATGCGGTGTGGAAAAACGTAGGCAAAGGTTGCGTCGCGGAGCGATTTTCAGACGTCGTCACCTTGGAGGTCCTGGAACCACTTTAAATTTGGGTTTAATTTTAACGTCCAGGATATCATTCGACGCAGAATTTTTTGCTCTACATTTCGGTAATAGATTTTAAAACTTAATAGTGGCAGTAAAAAAAGTTAGAGGGGAAAAACTGCAAAATTGACTATTTCTGAACACGGAGGTCCTAGGATCTCGAAAACGAGTCCGATGACCCACCTCCTTTTTTACGGATTATAATGTAGAAGGGTTTGGCACACATTTTTGTAATAGATTGCTTTTGAAGCGGGCGAAGGGATTTAGAAGAAAAAGGCGAAAAACTGGGAAAAAGTGGTTTTTTTTTCGGAAAATTGCTCGTCGCTCGAAATCGAGTCGGATGACCCACCTCCATTTTTTCGGATTCTGATACAGACGTGTTAGGCGCACATTTCTCTAATACAATGTTTTTTAAACCGGCAACGGGATTTAGGAGTAAAACGCGAAAAACTGCACAAAAACCGTCTTTCTCGCTCCCTATCTGTCTCTCTCTCTGTCTCATGTCTCTCTCTCCGCCTCTCTCGCTCACTCTTTATCTCTCTCTCTCTCGCTTTCTCTTCCTCTGGCTTGTTGATTGATCATGCTGACACTGCTTGCTTTACTGACTGCTTTGTTTGGTCATATAGTAGGTTTAGTACATATTTATTCAAATAAATGCGAATCTTCATATATTTATTGGTTTATCCAAGCTGGAGGGTTTGTCAGCTTCACGTGGTAGATTCCTTCTTGCCGATACCGCTGGCATCATCCTGAAAATAAATTTTTTAGACCCTATATATCAGGTAAAAATTTTTCGGCCCTCCGGGCCGGACGGAGGTCCATTTCTTGGTACAGGGACCCCGGAGGTCCTAGTGACGTCTCAACGACCACTTTCCGAACACTGGTTTTCTAGGTTTCTTTAGATAGTTTTTCCACTTTAAGTGTAGTTAAAATGGATTAAGACACTATTAAAACAGTTACTATTATTTTACTGGGCAATTCTTGATTTTTAGGAAAAAAAATTAGGTCCCCCGTTAATGCCAAAGAGCCCAAAAATGGATTCTTCTTTTTAGTCGAGCTGGTCTGCCAGACGATTCCGCTGCTGTACGCCGAACGGTTGCTGAAATGGATCGCCGACGGCGAGGTGGCCTACAGCTCGCCGCATGTCCACTTTTACATGGTAAGCATGGTTTTTTCGTTACAACTTACCAATTTTCGATTTTTTTGGGATTTTCACACGAATTAAACCTGGTTATATTTTTAAATTAATTTTTTGCCGTTTAGAAATGGATCCAGGCCGTCCTAAAGGTGCACGGCGGCCAGCTGAAGGGCCGGGGCGACGCGGCGCTGCTCACCGGCCTCCAGCAGTTCATCCAGCACCACACGCAACTCATCAGGAGCATGTGAGTTTCACGCGTTTTTGGGGTCAGAGAGTTTTGGCTAGTCTTAATTGGCTGCGAAATTTAGCGTCCGAGTAATCGAGGAGAAAACTAGCAGAAATAATTTAGGAATTTTATAGAACATGGCTCTGTGGGACCCTACTATTTATGGAAAATAGCGTCTAGACTTTTAAAGCGGGCGCTTTTTCGTTATCGGGGGGGGGGGGGGCTTTTTCTGTAGGATTTAATTTTTTAATCCTACTACCAGGGTTGAAAAGCCGCTTCGCGACTTTTCAACCCTGGCCCCGTCTGACCCCGTTTTATCCTTCACTTTGCATAATTTTCCTGAATTCAGATGACAAAAAATGAAAAACTACCTGTTGAGCCCCTTTATATAGTCGAATCCGCGCTTCCGGTCTACGCTAATTGTTCCTAACAAAGAGGTTTTTACAAAAACTTAAATTTAAGTTCGAAAATAGGTGATTTTGTTAAATCTGATATGCGTGCAGTCATCTCCAGGCCATTACGCATCTAATGACGGATCATACATACCATAAAATTGATCTCCTATCGAGATATCCTCCGGACAGACATCCGGAAGTGGATGCAAAGTGGCACACACAGACACACACACAGACACTATTTTTTTATATATAGTAGGATATAGTAGGATATATAAAAAAATAGTGTGTGTGTGTGTGTGTGTGCATTTGCATGCAACTTCCGTCCCTATGTTCCAGTCGTATCTCGATAGGACAAGAAGGGATGGGTACGTTTGATATGTCATTAGGTGCGTAATGGCCCTGCGATGCCTGCACACATATCAGATTTTAGAAAATAAGCTGTTTTCGACATTAAAATTCAGTTTTTTATGAAAAATCGGAGATCCTCTTTGTTAGAAATCAATTAGCATACACCGGAAGTGGAAGTAGCCTATATAATGCGAGAAAGTGAGAGCTTTGATTTTTTTTGACAAGGGAATTCATGAGAATTATGCAAAGGGAAGAATATCATCGGATCAGACGGGGCCAGGGTTGAAAAGTCGCGAAGCGGCTTTTCAACCCTGGTAGAGATTGAAAAAGTGTTTCTGAACCGTTTTTTTGTACTATTCCTAAGCGTCAAAACTTTCCTAATTTCCATTAGACAACAAAAAAAAAATATGGATTTTTCAGTCAAACCGGCGCAAATTTCGACTTGCAATTTTTTTGAAAACATTTTATAGTTTTTTCGTTTGGAATAGTTCAATTTTAATAATAATACTAGAAAGAAATTACTAGGTATTTCTGGACTCCCAATAATACCCCCTATAATGCTAAAGCACCGAAAATCGCAACAGCAATCGCAAGATCGCACAAGGGCAGGCTAGCAGAGATCATTTGGCATCAGAAATCCTTATAATTCCCGTCATTTCCAGGGCCGAGCAGAACAAGTACGGGCTACAGTACCTCGTCGCGATGCGTCAGCTCAACCAGTCGACCAAGTCGTCTTGAGGAATTTCCGAAAATTGTTGTCTCTTTGGATCGTTTTATTTTTGTATTTTTCATCTATTCATCTTTATTGTTGTTACCATTTGATGCGACTCTCTCTCTCTCGCTCTCAAAAATGATTGTTACTTGTTGGAAATGTTGTTCTGCTTTTGGCTCGTTATTATTGCTGTTGTTATTGTTGTTGTTGTTCGATGAAAGATTAAATGCAGCTACAAACTACAGGATCAGGGCTAGCAGAGATTCTTTCCGGAATGGTAGCCCCCCGATAACGCACCAGAACAGATTTATCGGTTTCAAACACTTAAGTTTTTTCATGCCTTTTTCGACTATTTGAGATAAAGTGTTATAATTCTTTCGATTTTTATTTTTAAAAACGTTTAACACCTAAACGCCCCCCCCCCGTTAATAGGCAAGTACCGGCAAGCAGAGATTCTTTCAGGAGTTTGAGCGCGAGGCGGGCAGAGAGAGAGCGTGAGAGAGAGGCCCTTTACCACTCCAGATTTGCATAAATCGCCCGGAATTTCCTTAAGCGTCTCCAGAAAAGCCGTCATTTTTCGGCTATCACCTCATCCGAATCATGCTCCTTGAGCTAGGAATTGTCCTCCTCTTCCTCCCCTGCCACCAGTCAATTTCAACCGACCACGCCGACTGGCGCCACCGTCGGTTTTTATTGATTTTTTGTGTGCCTTACTTCGACAGTCCTTGAAAATATTTCAAGGCTTAGGATCTACCTACCGACCTTAAACTTAAAAAATTCAAAATTTTGGCAAAACGCGTCCATTTTTCGTCGAAAAATCGATATTTTTGTATTTTTCCATAGAAATTTCTACAGTTTTTACGCTTACTAGTTAGGAATAGTAAAAACGGAAGACTCGGTTCCTCTATTTATATTTGAAACACCGAATCTAAGACAATTGCTCCACGCCCCCCCCCCCCCCGTTAATGCAAAAGAACCTCTTTTTCAGGCGAATGGCGCATCCGACCACAAGCTGAAGGGGAACAAAAGTGGGAAGAAGCCGGGCTGGATTTTGCCGGAGACGATCTCTACCCACGCGTCCTCTTCACCGAATATATACGTGACCACAAGCAGCAGATCTACGGTATGGCTTGGCTTAGGCTTGGCTTAGGCTTGGCTTAGGCTTGGCTTAGGCTTGGCTTAGGCTTGGCTTAGGCTTGGCTTAGGCTTGGCTTAGGATTGGCTTAGGATTGGCTTAGGCTTGGCTTAGGCTTGGCTTAGGCTTGGCTTAGGCTTGGCTTAGGCTTGGCTTAGGCTTGGCTTAGGCGTGGCTTAGGCTTGGCTTAGGCTTGGCTTAGCTTGGTTTTCAGTGTGCCCCACCGGGACGGTGATGTGCTACGTGTTCGCCGGGGAGGAGCCAGACCCGAAGAAGTACGGCTGCTACGAGGCGACGTCGGTTACGTGGAGACAAGTTGGAGTTAGGCACTGCCGCTGTGAGAAGAAGGCCGACGGCAAGCCGGTGGTGCGCGAGCCGATGAACAAGGAGCTGTTCAATATATATGAGTCTCGTAGGATGGTGGGTTGCTCTAGCGAGCCTAAGCCAAGGCCAGCCTTACTGTATCTCGCTTTTAGGAGGCCGGGACGTGCGGCTTTCGGCAGTCGACGACCGATTCGCAGTGGCTGTATCCGGTGAGGGTTGTCGCTCTCTCTCTCTCTCTCTCTCTCTCTCTCTCTTTCTCTCTCTCTCTCTCTCTCTCTCTCTCTCTCTCTCTCTATCTGTCTGTCTCTCTCTCTCTCTCCCTCATTCTCTCTATCTGTCCCTCTCTCTCTCTCTCTCTCTCTCTCTCTCTCTCTCTCGCTATCTCTCTCTTTCTCTCACTCTCCCTATCTCTCTATCTGTCTCTCTGTCTGTCTGTCTCTCTCTCCCTCTCCCTCTCTCTCCCTCTCCCTCTCTATCTCCCCTCTCTCTCTTTCTCTCACTCTCCCTCTCTCTCTATCTGTCTCTCTGTCTCTCTCTCTCTCCCCCTGTCTCTCTCTCTGTTTGTCGCTCTCTCTCTCTCTCTGTCTCTCTCTCTCTCTCTTCTTCATCCCTTCCAGCTTCCGATCCGTTGCGAAGCCTATGTCCGCCCGTTTGACGTCGACTCGGGCTGTGCCGAGATGGACTTGACGCCGTCGCTGAGCAGCATCCATGAGGACGACATCCACTTCAGCGAGTGGGTCCAGCACCATGGATTCAGGGAATTTATCACCTACGGTAAGTGCGTTTCGGAATGCACCCCCCCCCCCCCCCCCGCTAAGAGTACAGTACCCGTATTTTCAGCCTGCCGCGAGCACCAAATTGCCTGCAATAAATGGCAAGCGACGACCAATACGACGACCGGCGGGTATGAATTTTGGGGTTCTTTTGCATTATCGGGGGGGGGCAAAATTTTTGTCGTAGAAACTGATTTTTCAAATAAAAATAGTGGAATTGTCATTTTATTAGAAAACTACGAAAATAACGATTTTTTTTCGCCCAAAAACGGAAATTTCGACTTTTTCAAAACTGTTAGAGCTGAGTTTTGAGTTAAGAATTTTTTGGACTGAAACTGAGATATATTTTACAAAAAAAGCTCGTAAAATAATTTTTAGGAAAATGGAACAGAGCCCACTGGGATGCTACTCGGGGGCGAACCGCGTCCATAACGCCGACACCGATGGGAATTACGGCTACATACCACGGAATTGTCCTTGTTGTGGGTGTTTTTGTTCCTGGTGCGAGAGAGAGGGAGAGAGAGAGAGAGAGAGAGAGAGAGAGCGAGAGAGAGAGTGAGAGAACGTTTACAGATCCGAGGGATGGAGAGGAGACCGGTCTCAACCACACGACCACCAAATTCGGTAAGGACAGCCTGGACTTCGCGAAAAAGTGCTTTCAGACATGATCAACTACAACATCTACATGCGCATCCTCGAGACGACGATTATGGTGCGGTAGCAGAGATTATTTGGGATGAGAGAGAGGGGAGGGGGCAGGCTAGCAGAGATCATTTGGGATGAGAGAGAGGGGGGAGGGGCAGGCTAGCAGAGATCATTTGGGATATGGGACCCTATTCCTTTTTCAGGACAGGGCGGCCTGCCACAGCGACCTCAGCTATGAACGCAATCCCGACAGATTTGCACCCTACCCGGTACCAGAATTTGATGGCTTGGCGAGAGAGAGCTCTTTCTCTCTCTCTCTCTCTCTCTCTCTCTCTCTCGCTCTTTCTTTAAGAGCCCGTGTTTCAGCCGTACTACCTGTGTTCCCCCTCGAATCCTCCGTATCTGCCACGCAGCCGATGTACCAATATCGAAGATCTCCCCGAAAGCGGCATCGACAAACAGCGGCTCGTGTACCGCGAGGGGCTGCAACTTGGTGTAAAGAGGAGCGTTCGGATCACATACGGTAAGGTTTTTGGCTTCCGCAATGATCTCTGCTAGCTTGCCCCTACATTCCTCAAAGAACCTATGCTAGCCTGCCCCGTCCATTCCTCAAAGAATCTCTGCTAGCCTGCCCCTCCATTCCTCAAAGAATCTCTGCTAGCCTGCCCCCTCCATTCCTCAAAGAATCTCTGCTAGCCTGCCCCTCCATTCCTCAAAGAATCTCTGCTAGCCTGCCCCTCCATTCCTCAAAGAATCTCTGCTAGCCTGCCCCCTCCATTCCTCAAAGAATCTCTGCTAGCCTGCCCCTCCATTCCTCAAAGAATCTCTGCTAGCCTGCCCCTCCATTCCTCAAAGAATCTCTGCTAGCCTGCCCCTCCATTCCTCAAAGAATCTCTGCTAGCTTGCCCCTACATTCCTCAAAGAATCTCTGCTAGCCTGCCCCTCCATTCCTCAAAGAATCTCTGCTAGCCTGCCCCTCCATTCCTCAAAGAATCTCTGCTAGCCTGCCCCTCCATTCCTCAAAGAATCTCTGCTAGCCTGCCCCTCCATTCCTCAAAGAATCTCTGCTAGCTTGCCCCTACATTCCTCAAAGAATCTCTGCTAGTCTGCCCACCACCTCGTTACAGGCTGTGCCGAGGGTACCATCTTCTGCCCGTCGATCGAGAATGGGACTCGGGACTCGAGCCTGGATGCTACAAGGGTGTGACACGTCGAGATTGCGGCGCGTGCGGTAAGTACGATACCGTACTACTTACACCACTACGCTCTTAGCACGAAAAGAAGGCGAAACGCCTCTGCTAGCCGATTCCCTCCATCCGACGATCCTCTCCTGGCTGCAGGCTTTCAGCCCGACCATGGATGACTGTGCGAAGGAATGGAATGAGGGCCCAAGGAGGACCGTCGGAACCATGCTGCCAGAAACGGTGAGAGAGAGGGAGAGAGAGAGAGAGAGAGCGAGAGAGAGTGAGAGGGAGAGAGGGAGAGGGAGAGATAGAGAAAAGAGAAAGTGAGAGGGAGTGAGTGAGAGAGAAGAGAGACGAGAAAGAGAGAGAGAGAGAGAGAGAGAGAGAGAGAGAGAGTGAGCGAGCGAGCGTGAGAGAGTGAGGGAGAGAGAGCGAGGGAGAGGCGAGGGAGAGACATAGAGAAAAAAAGTCTCTGCTCGTCCTCTCCGAGCACATTTTTTCTAAAGAATCGCTACCTTGCCATGCACTGTCAAATTCTGAAGAGGCCCTCCCGCAAAGAATAGTTAGCTTGCGCCGGTGCATTTGCATTAGCGGGGGAGGGGCAAAGAACGCCATGTTCGCCTTCGAATCTGTTAGCTTCCCAGGGACCTTTTCCGGCAAGGTCTGCTCGTTGGCCTCGGCGCTATTCCCCCAATGGTCTCTGCTAGCATGCCCGGCACTTTTCGATCCAGGAATCTATGCTAGCTCGCTCGGGGCATTTTCCTTAATGGTCTCTGCTCGTTGGTCCCTGGCCCACTTTCCCCGAATGGTCTCTGCTAGCCGGCCACAGGAACTTATTCCCCAGTGGCCTCTGCTCGTTCGCCCGGCAGCATTTTCCTAAAGGAATTCTGCTGGCCTGCCCGCTGGCATTTTCCTCAACGATCTCTGCTCGCTGGCCAGGGGCGTAAATTCCCCAATCGTCCCTGCTAGCATGTCTGACAGTTTTCGCCCCAAGGATCCTGCTAGCTAGCCAGGAGCATTCTCCGCAAGGAATTCTGCTAGCCTCCCGGCCTCTCGAAAGCGCGTTCCTCAATGATCTCTGCTCATTGGCCCCGGGCGTATTCCTCAACGGTCTCTGCTAGTATGCCCCACTCAATCGCTCATTGTCAGGCAAACCGCGTCTGCCCTGTCCTCGGCTTCAGCGACCTGTACGACGCGTACTCGGGCACATGCACGGGCATGGAGAACAAGACACCCAACCCCTCCCAGGTCGCCTTCACCGAGCTGTACCTACGCCCTGATGATGGCAAATGGGAGCGTATCAACTACGGTAGCGCTTTGGAGCCTTTTTCGCGGTGTCCTGTCCCTTTAAAACGGTTTTTTAGCTGTCACAGCGCCTTTAAATGGTTTTTGCGGCTCTGGACTGTTAGCGGGGGGAACCAAATTTTTCCCGGTGATTCTCTACGGCCCTAAAACAATTTTTATTATCCTACTATATATAAAAAAATAGTGTCTGTGTGTGTGTGTGTGCCACTTTGCATCCACTTCCGTATCGTTGTTCCAGTAGTATCTCCATAGGGGAAGAAGTTAGTGGTGAGTACGATATGTCATTAGGTGCTTAATGGTCTAGGGATGACTGCCCACATATCAGATTTATAAAAATCAGCCATTTTCGATATGAAATTTAAGTTTTTGTAAAACCCTCTCCGCTAGGAACAAATTAGCATTGACCGGAAGTGGGTAGTCGCCTATATAAAGGGTCAGAAGCGAATTATTTTCATTTTTGACATCGGAATTCAGCGCAATTATGCAGAGCGTAGAACAGCATGCGGTCCAAGACGGGGCCAGGGTTGAAAAGTCGCGAAGCGGCTTTTCAACCCTGGTTGTTGTTAATTTTTATAGCATTTTACATAGTTTTTAGACATGAAAATAATAAAAACAATGTAATTTTTGGATTTTGACGAAAAATGTCTGAAAAATGACCAAATGGCTCAAAATTTCGAATTTACATCTATAAAAATCCTGCAAAATAATTGCCCCTGCTAAAATGCCTACCCCCGCTAACAGTCCAGTACCGGTTTTTCTAGCTGTCACTGTCCCTTTAAAACGAGTTTTTAGCCTGTCCCGACGGCAACGTCTTCTGCGCGTTCGACGACTTCTACGCGTGCTTCCGGGGCGTCCAACGAACCTCCGACACCGGATGCGAATGCAAGGGCACTTCTGCCGCCAATCTAGCGGGATACGGTAGGCGCCATTCCTCAAAGAATCTCTGCTAGCCTGCCCCTCCATTCCTCAAAGAATCTCTGCTAGCCTGCCCCTCCATTCCTCAAAGAATCTCTGCTAGCCTGCCCCTCCATTCCTCAAAGAATCTCTGCTAGCCTGCCCCTCCATTCCTCAAAGAATCTCTGCTAGTCTGCCCCTCCATTCCTCAAAGAATCTCTGCTAGCCTGCCCCTCCATTCCTCAAAGAATCTCTGCTAGCCTGCCCCTCCATTCCTCAAAGAATCTCTGCTAGCCTGCCCCTCCATTCCTCAAAGAATCTCTGCTAGCCTGCCCCTCCATTCCTCAAAGAATCTCTGCTAGCCTGCCCCTCCATTCCTCAAAGAATCTCTGCTAGCCTGCCCCTCCATTCCTCAAAGAATCTCTGCTAGCCTGCCCCTCCATTCCTCAAAAAATCTCTGCTAGCCTACCCTCGTTTTCAGCCAGTCCCTACATCGTCGAGGCCCTCAAGTGGTACAGCAAGGAGCGCCTCGACCGCGGCGAGGAGACGGGGATCTGTGGTGGCGAGACCGAGCGGTCGTTGTGGTATCCGGATCCGCCGGTAGGTGCCCTCCGCAAATTGTCGTTGCTAGCCACCCTGGCATGCTAGCGGAGATCATTTGGGATCGAATTTCCAGCGTTTCGTCTACTGCTCGGCGTCGAGCTTCCTCTACGACGAGCAGTTCGGATGCGGGGAGACAATTCCGGAGCCGCTAACCGGACCCGGGCTGAGCCCCCGAGTCGCCGTGCGCGAGCAGATATACTGGAACGGAAGAAGGCATGACGTCATCTACGGTGGGTGCCAGACAAATGATCACTGCTAGCCTGCCCCTCCCCTCTCTCTCATCCCATATGATCTCTGCTAGCCTGCCCCCTCCCCTCTCTCTCATCCCAAATGATCTCTGCTAGCCTGCCCCCTCCCCCTCTCTCTCATCCCAAATGATCTCTGCTAGCCTGCCCCCTCCCCCTCTCTCTCATCCCAAATGATCTCTGCTAGCCTGCCCCTCTCCTCTCTCTCATCCCAAATGATCTCTGCTAGCCTGCCCCCTCCCTCTCTCATCCCAAATGATCTCTGCTAGCCTGCCCCCCCCCCTCTCTCTCATCCCAAATGATCTCTGCTAGCCTGCCCCTCCCCCCTCTCTCTCATCCCAAATGATCTCTGCTAGCCTGCCCCCTTCCCCTCTCTCTCATCCCAAATGATCTCTGCTAGCCTGCTCCGCTTTCAGCGTGCGAAAAGCCGAATGAGTATTACTGCGCTAACTGGGGCCGCGGCCACAAGCGACAGCCTGGCTGCTACACCGGCGTCAAGTACGAGGACGAGAAGCATTGCACTTGTGGTCGGATACCTTGAGCCTTATTTGGATACCTTACATTAGCTACTGGATCTTAAATTGGAGCTGATCTAAATAACTCAAAATCATGATTTTAGTTCCATCCGATGGCTCGGCCTCGGACGACGGCTACGTGCCGAACTATGGTACGTCGGCATCTCTCTCTCCCTCTCTCTCTCTCTCTGTGTCTCTCCCACTTTCTTCTTCAGACAGCGCCTACATCGAGGTGCTGCGCGACAAAATCATCAACCAGGAATCTCAAGAGCCGAAGCCCGGCCACTGTGGCTTGACCGCCTTCTGGGATCGCCCCGACAATCTACACTTTCACCAAATAATTGTAAGGACTGTTTGGGCATTAATAGGGGGCAGGCTAGCAGAGATTCTTTGAGGAATGGACGGGGCAGGCTAGCAGAGATTCTTTGAGGAATGGACGGGGCAGGCTAGCAGAGATTCTTTGAGGAATGGAGGGGCAGGCTAGCAGAGATTCTTTGAGGAATGGAGGGGCAGGCTAGCAGAGATTCTTTGAGGAATGGAGGGGCATGCTAGAAAAGATTCTTTGAGGAATGGAGGAGCAGGCTAGCAGGGATTCTTTGAGGAATGGAAAGGCAGGCTAGCAGAGATTCTTTGAGGAATGAGGGGGGTGGCTAGCAGAACTTTTCAGTTGGAACACCTGTGCCCGATCAGCCACAACCCGTGGCGGATGGGGCGCGCCGGGAGCTGCGCGTTTACGGGAGAGGATCATAGTAAGCGGGTTGATTTTTTCCCGAATTTTGTGAATTCAGAGACCGGCATGGAGATCTACGCGTTGATCGAGGAGATCCCGTATCGTGCCGGGAGTCTGCAGATTCGCTACGGTAGGTGCGGGCTGGCAGGGGCACCCGGGCACGCAACGCAAAACTAGACGCACCGCGGCACGCAACGCGCATAGGACGACAACGCGACACGCACACACACGCTCGCACAGTGACCCGTCCCGCCCGACGCAACGCGCACGACAGCGGTTCACAACGCGCCAGGCACCGCACCAACAGGCTGGATGCGACGCGACGCGACGCAACATTACACCTACGCTGCCACGCAACGCGCCTGGCAACATGCGATACGCGACGTGACGAGACACTATAGGACCCGCACCGCAAAGCTACGCGCAACCGGCGACGCAGCGTGATGCGACGCGAATTGCAGGGTGCGCGCGTGCAACGCGATACGCGGCACGGATTTGCCGCGAACCGCAACGCGATACGCAGTGCGGATTTACCGCGCAGCGCAACGCGGTACGCAACGCGACACGCCACGCGACAAATACTGATGCACGCGACGCGATACGCAGCGCGATACTCGACGCGCCCAGCCTCTGTGCGTCGCGGTCCGCGACCTGCCGCTAAAATTCATTTTGATGCGTTGCCGGCCCCTTTAAAATCGCTGTTTCTAGGTTGCGGCAGCCCGGACCTGGTCTACTGCCGGACGCTGACCGGCCCGTCCTCGACGTATTATGATCCCGGCTGCTACGCGGAATACCAAGTGAAACGCGGCGACTTGGCGACGTGCAGCTGTGTTTGTAAGTGAGAGAGAGAGGGAGAGAGGGAGAGAGAGAGGGAGATAGAGAGAGAGAGAGAGAGAGAGAGAGAGATAATGAGAGAGATTCCACTTTTTCCAGTGGACCGTGACGACTACGACCTCGAGCCGGCGGTGCCCTTCAACGAGGCGCTGCTCCACTGGCTGGAAAAGTACCAAAAAGAGGCAAGCTAGCAGAGATTCTTTGAGGAATGGACGGGGCGGGCTAGCACGGATTCTTTGAGGAATTTGAATGGAGCAGGCTAGCAGAGTTTCTTAGGGATTTCCCCAAAGACCCGTGCTAGCCGCCTCCATTTTAGGATTCCCGCGGCGCCATCTGCAGCGCCCTCTACAAGCGCAAGGCGGGCGTCATCCCACCCGAAAGCACCGACGTCGCCAGGTCGAGCGGGACCGACGAGCGCAGACGGCTAGCCGCCGCTCGCAGGGCTGAGGTTGCTCAGCAGGCGATTAACGAGTGGGTGGTTGCTTAAGTCTAAGCTTAAGACTCCCCCGATAATGCGAAAGCTACAATTTTGAAAGATTCGTAAAAAACGGTCAAAAATGAGCCCACTCCGGCTATTGAACGGCTCGAAGTTGTTGGAATACCTGTAGTTTCATGACCTTTTTCAGACGTCTCCACATGGTACTCTTCTTCCACGGCATCCTTCTGCCCATCTGCGTCGCCATTGTGAGTGCTGAAGCCTAGGCCTAAGCCAAGCCTAAGCCAAGCCTAAGCCAAGCCTAAGCCAAGCCTAAGCCAAGCCTAAGCCAAGCCTAAGCCAAGCCTAAGCCAAGCCCAAGCCCTCCCTTCCAGACGGCCCTCGTCTACTGGCTGTACAGGCGTGAGATGCTGCGTCGCGAAGCGCAGATCACCGTCATTGAGGTGGCTCGCCGGAAGTACTGATCGGGGTCGACTCCTCAAGAATCCCTGCTAGCCTACCGCGTCCTCTGGCTCCGTTTTCTTTGCTATTGTATTTTTTGCATGTCTCTCTTCAGTTTCTGCTAGTCCGAGTAACATTTCTCATCCCGATGCCCCGCGTGTGTTTTTCTGATTTATTGTCTTGCCTGTGGCGAAAGAATAAAGATTTTTCGACGAGAGAGAGAGAGAGAGAGAGAGAGAGAGAGAGAGAGCTAAAGGGAGCGAGAGGGAGCGAGAGAGAGAGAGAGAGCGAGAGGGAGCGAGAGAGCGCGTGAACGAGAGAGAGCAAGGGAGTGAGAGTGACAGTGAGAGTGAGAGAGTGAGAGAGAGATCTCCAAATGGTTGCAGAGAGATCTCCAAACAGCAATTGTAATACAATGAATTGATTGCCACTCATTTCCCGACGACGCGAAGAAGGGCAGGTGCTCTCGGCGTCAGCGAGGAGGACAGGCTCTACTTGTTGAAGATGTCGGGGGCGGGCAGCGAGTGGAGTTTCAAAGGAAATCATCTACAGCTCAGAATTTCGAAGCGGTCATTAGCATCTGAAATTGAAATTATCTTCCGGTGGCTGCTCACCTCGAAAATTGCTTCGAAAAGAGGGCATTTCTGTACCTCGGTGTTGATGGCGTTCGGCTTCAAGGGCTGCTCCCATCACCTGCTCTCCCTTCTCCTGGCTGTGCTTCTCCTTGGAGCCACTGCCGGTCAAGACGTTGTCAAGCCATGTGGGTCTCTCTCTCTCTCTCTCTCTCACTCTCTCTCTCTCCCGTTCTCTCCCCTGGCTCTCGCTGACTTCCTCTCTCTCTGTCTCTCTCTCTCTATCTCTCTCTCACTCTCTCTCCCGCTCACTCGCTGGCTCTCGCTCACTCTCTCTTACTCTCTCTCGCTCTCGCTCTCTCGATGTCTCTCTCCCGCTCTCTCGTTGGCTCTCGCTCACTTTCTCACTCTCTCTCACTCTCTCGTTCTCACTCTCTCGTTCTCATTCTCTCGCTCTCACTCTCTCTTGGTCTCTCTATGTCTCTGTCAATCATCCATTTTCAGTGGAGTACAAGTTCTGCTCGCTGCAACAGATGGAGCAAGAGAAGCTGGCCAACTGTCCACTCGTGCCCGATGAACCCAACTACCTCCGCCGCGTCATCTTCACCAAGCAAGCCTCGGCCGATGAACCGGTATTGGTTGGTGAGTGGCCTCCGACGAGTTCTAGCAGTTCATACGGCGCTACAGGACAAAAACCTCACTCTTTCTGTTGTACAAGTTCGAGCAGTTCAGAGGGACCCCCGAGATACACCTCTTTTTTCAGTGCTGTGCCCCCCGCGATCTGTTGCCTGCTTCAGCCTAGATGGGGAAGTCAACCTGTGGTACGCCGGCTGCTACCACTACCAGACCATCGAGTGGAAGCAGACGGACGAGCAGGTATAGGCTTATGCTTAGCCGCCTGCCTTTGCCGCCAAGCCTGCCGTCTGCTGCTTGCCAAGCCTGCCTAAGCTGCCTCGCTGCCGCTTTGGCTAGTTTGCCAAGTCTGCTTCCGCTACAAGCCTATGCCAGGCTAAGCTTCGTCGGAACTTCCGTTCTTTCAGCACTGCACCTGCCGCCGCTACCCGACCGTCCGTGCCGACCTCGTCAAGAACTTCCACCACGTCCTCGTCGAGATCGTCAAGGCCCCGAGGGTATCACTGCTTCGTTAAAATCACCCTAATACCTTGTTCAGGACCTCCGGATGTGCCCCCACCGTCAAGGACTGCTCGCCGGCGCCACCCCACTCGAGCAGCCGACCCGATTCTCGGTATCGCTGTGGTTTAAAGCGCATCGTTCACGTTTCCGTTACACCTATTTACCCCCTCGTCTCCCCCTCTCCCAGTCCCCCAGTCAATAGGCGTCAACACGAAGTATACGTTCACCATAAATATCCGTCCCTGAACGTGCGCTTTAAGCGCAGTTTACCCCCCCCCCCGCCGACCCCCACCTACCGTATCTCGACTCCCTGTTCATCTACAGGTGTGTAAAGTATGCCAAAATGCTCGCCAGAGCAAGACGAACATTTTGGTATACTTTGCACACCTGTAGATGAACAGGCGGCCGAGATACAAAAGTTGGGCGCCGGCTGGGGGTATCTGGAGTGTTGACCTTCCACTTCAGCTACCCGTCGATTGCACCGCTCTGGCTGACCCGTGGCTGCCGGGCGGCTACGGCTGCGGCCGGCACAACAGGCCCGCCATCGAGCCGGACAGCCCACGCATCTTCTACAACGAGATTGTCGAGCACAACAACGGCTATCGCGAGCACGTCAGATACGGTAGATGGGGGTTGTTGTAGCCATTACAATCACCCCAATTTCAGCCTGCCCGGGCACCGACCAGGTGTTCTGCCTCGCTGACGATGGCAAGAGCGCGGGCTGCTACAAAAACACAATGCGCGTCGGCCACCATGACCGCGATCCGCAGAAACAGAAGGAGGACGAGCTCAACAACTGCCTTTGCGGTAGGGGCTTAGGCTTGGCTTAGGCTTAGGCTTGGCTTAGGCTTGGCTTAGGCTTGGCTTAGGCTTGGCTTAGGCTTGGCTTAGGCTTGGCTTATATTTACTTAGGCTTGGCTTAGGTTTCACTTAGGCTTGGGCTTAGGCTTGGCTTAGGTTTGGCTTAGGTTTGGCTTAGGCTTGGCTTAGGTTTGGCTTAGGCTTGGCTTAGGCTTGGCTTAGGCTTGGCTTAGGCTTCACTTAGGCTTCATTTATAGGTTTACTTATAGGTTTATTTAGGCTCATTTAGGCTTGGCTTAGGCTTCTGGCTTAGGCTTCACTTAGGCTTCAGCCAGGGGCCTGGCTTCTAGGCTTCGGGCTTAGGCCTGGCCTAGGCCTATGAGCTTTTATGCTTAGGGTTTGTTTATTATTTAGGGGTTTGGTTTAGGCTTGGCTTAGGCTTGGCTTAGGCTTGGCTTAGGGCTTATTTAGGTTTATTAGGCTTGGCTTAGGCTTGGCTTAGGCTTGGCTTAGGGCTTACTTAGGGCTTGGCTTAGGGTTTGGCTTAAATTCACTTTAGGCCCACTCTTGTACCCAACCCAAATTCACCATCTGCTTCCAGGGCCTACCTGAAAATTACCCAAATTCACCCAGGCCCACTGAGGCTCACTAGAATTCACTCAGGTCCAATTTTAAATCTACCTTATCTACTCAGGATCTCACTGCAAATTCACTCAGCCTCACCTTACTACCTATAATTACTTTGTACCAATGAAATCCTTCGGCCCCAGGGCCTACTTCCAGGATTCACTTGAGGTCTGACGAAATTAATTAGGTCTCACCCAGGTCTACTCTTAGGTCTACCTAGGCCTACTCCAGGCCCAATTTTAGGGCCTTACTCTAGCCCACCTATCTACCTAAATTACCAGAAATTCACTTGTTCAATGAAATCGCCCCCAGCCCAATTTCCAGGCCTACCGAAATTACCCAGGTTCAATCCAGGATTCACCAGGTCTACCCAGGATCTGGCCTAAATTCACCTTGTACCAATTAGGCCCTACCAGGCCCAAATTGAAAATTACCTGAGGCCTTACTCAGGCCCCAATTGGTACTTACTCAGGTCTACCCAGGTCTACTCAAAAATCACTCCACCCTCACTCCAGGCCCTACTTCCAAATCTACTCCCAGGTCATTACCAGGTTCACCATAATCCATTTGTAATTACCTTAGGAACGCTACTCCCAGGGCCTACTCCAGGCATTCAATTACAGGGCCTACCAGGCCTACCCAAATTACCATCTACCAGGCTACCCAGTACTACCTTATATCTACCTAAATTACTATACCAATTATATCAATTAAATTGGCTTCCAGGCCTACTCAAAAATTGGCTTCAGGCCCGTCCTAGGCCTAGGCTTAGGCAGGCTTGGGGCTTGGAGGCAGGCTTATGCTTAGGCCGGGCTTAGGCCGCCCGGCCGGGCTTAGGCTTGGCTAGGCTTGGCTAGGGCTTGGCTTAGGCTTGGCTTAGGCAGCTTGGCTTAGGCTTGGCTTAGGCAGGCGGAAGCATTAGGCTGGGCTTGGGAGGCTTGGCCTAGGCTTGGCTTAGGCTTGGCAGGCTTGGCTTAGGCTTGGCTTTGTGTTTTGGCTTAGGCTTGGCTTAGGCTGGGCTTAGGCGGGCGTAGGCCGGGCCGTCAGGCGCCAGTCCAGCAGGTCGGGCCTAAGCCGGGGTTAGGCCGGCTTAGGCTGGCTTAGGCTTGGCTTAGGCTTGGCGGGCTTCGCTTGTGGCTTGGAGGCTTAGGGCTTAGGCTTAGGCTTAGGCTTGGGCTTAGGCTTAGGCTTAGGCTTAGGCTTAGGCTTAGGCTTAGGCTTAGGCCGGGCTTAGGCTTGGCTTAGGCTTAGGCTTAGGTTAGGCTTAGGCCGGGCTTAGGCCGGGCTTAGGCCGGGCTTAGGCCGGGCTTAGGCTTGGCTTAGGCTTGGCTTAGGCTTAGCCCAGGCTTGGCTTAGGCTTGGACGGCAGGCTTGGGCTTAGGCCAGGCTTAGGCTTAGGCTTAGGCTTGGAAGCAGGCTTAGGCTTAGGCTTAGGCTTAGGCTAGGCTTAGGCTTAGGCTTAGGCTTAGGCTTAGGCGGAATCGAGGCCCAGGCTTAGGCTTAGGCTTAGGCTTAGGCTTAGGCTTAGGCTTAGGCTTGGCTTAGGCTTGGCTTAGGCTTGGTTTAGGCTTGGCTTAGGCTTGGCTCAGGCTTGGCGCAGGCTTGGCTCAGGTGGATGCTTTTAGCGTTATTAACATCAGCCGCTTCCCCCCCGCTAACAACTCAGTACCGAAATTCACGCAAGCCCATAAAGTATACCTAACTACCATACATACCTTACTTAATTCTAGGCAATGGCGGCACTTTGGTGTCGATGATCAGCGCCACGATGCGCGATGCTGCGCTGACACGCTTCCAAGAACTCACAAAGGTGGATGCTTTTAGCGTTATTAACATCAGCAGCTCCCCCCTCCCGCTAACAACTCAGTACCGAAATTCACGCAACGACTGATAAATTCCAGACGGTGAAGCAAGGCGAGCCGGCCTGCGGCGCCAGGCTCTTCGTGAAGCGCAGCGCCGATGAGGTGCTTGAGGTTAGATTAAAGGTTTCAATGTCACTGGTCACTGTCCTGCTTCCAGTTGTCGTACGTCTACCAGATGAACGCGGGCCCGTTCGCGCCATACGCCCTTGGCAACAAGATCGCCCTCCACGATGAGGCAACCGGGCTCGGCGACAAGGCGCTGGTGCTGACTGAGCAGATCTCACCGCCCGGCGCCAACCACAAGCTTACCATCCGATATGGTAGGTCTCTCTCTCTCTCCCTCTCTCTGTCTCTCTCCCTCTCTATCCCTTTCTTTTTCTCTATCTCTGTCTCTCTCTATCTCTCTCTATCACTCTTTCTCTCACGCTCTCTCTCTCTCGCTCGCCCTCTTACCCTCTCTCTCTTTCTCTCTCTCTCTCTGTCGGTCTCTATATCACTCTCTTACCCTCTCTCTCTGTCGGTCTCTATATCTCTCTCTTACCCTCTCTCTCTTTCTCTGTCTCTCTGTCTCTCTATACCTTTCTTTTTCTCAATCTCTGTCTCTCTCTTTCACTCTTTCTCTCACGCTCTCTCTCACGCTCTCCCTCTCTCGCTCTCTCTCTTACCTCTCTCTCTCTTTCTCTCTCTCTCTCTCTCTCCTCTCTCTCTCTCTCCCTCTGTCGGTCTCTCTCTCTCTACCTATCCTCTTTAGCCTGCCCGGATGCGCAGATCTACTGCTCTGAGGATCAAATCGAAGGAATCGACCCCCCGGGCTGCTACTCGACGTCGGAAGTGAAGAGAACCGGCACGGCACCGGCACCAGAATTTAAATGCGGTAGGACAGGCGGTATATTGGGGCTTGTCTGTTAGCGGGGGGTATGTCTTCTCCTGGGCACTTGACTGTTCAATCTGTTTTTAGCGAAGCTGTCGGACTCGCCGAAGCGACTCGACAAGCCGACGGGTATCACGAGAAATGTCCCCCTGAAATTACCCTCTTTCCTACAGCCGGCCTCTACATGTTTTTTTTTATATATAAAAAAAAATATGTATATAATATAATAAAATAATAAGAAGGAGCTACTCAAGCGGTACGGCGACCAGGAGAAGTACCCCTGCCCGGCCAACTACACTCTGGCGCTGTGCGGCGTGCGCAACTACATCCCCGCCGTGCCATACTACAGGGTATGATCGGTGATTCGATTGTCTCTGGTTCGGCCGCGACACGCGACGCGTGGAACTTCCCGGGGCTTCCAACTGTTGTAGCTCGGCTCGATGGTGTGCTACTGGACCGTAAAGTATACCAAAATACTCCCCGGGGCAAGACGCACATTTTGGTATATTTTACGCACCTGTAGCACGACGGAAAATTGGGCCTATGGTTCGGCCGCGGCGCGGGACGCGTGGAACTTCCTGGGGCTTCCAACTGTTGTAGCTCGGCTCGATGATGTGCTACAGGGCCGTCAAGTATACGAAAATACTCCCCAGACCCGTGCGCATATTTTGGCATATTTTAGAGCTTTGTAGCACGACAGGAAGTTTGCCTATTGTACGACCGCGAAACGCGACGCGTGGAACTTCCCGGGCTTCCGACTGTTGTAGCTCAACTCGATGATGTGCTACTGGGCTATAAAGTATACCAAAATACTCCCCAGGCCAAGGCGCATATTTTGGTATACTTTACA